TCCAAATGCCATTATTACGACTATTATTGGTATACCGACTCTAACTGTATATACATTATACTTACGCAGAGGTACACTATAATAATTGTATTATAATATTTTAACGAGGATTTATATGTCGATCTGCATTATATTACTATACTGTCGTATATATAATATATATACTCGCTTTATACTTTTGTAGGTACCTATAAGATTTTTAGATTCAGAACGGAACGCGACCAATGCGTATTGCGATTTTACAATTATTGTGTTTTGTGTATGTGTTGGGGTGTACCTATATTGCGTTTTATACAGTGCCGTAAAAACCGGGTGTGCAGAGTGTGTACCACACACAGGCCTCGGGCCCCATAATATATCGAAGGGCCTCAGAAGATCTAAAGACTAATATTAACCTAATATAAAATTATTAAAATAAATAAATGATTTATTATTTATTTTTTAACCTAGTAAATTACTAGGTTTATATGATGGCGTTAAAACGGTTTATACTCAAACCGTTTTGAAAGTTAAAACGCTAGCGCTATGTAGTTTAAGAATTTAAAACCGTTTTATATGTTTTGTTATGCTGTATTTAATTATTTTTGATTATCGCATTCCGTTATAATTACGTTTACAAACATGTATCGTTTTTTGTAAAAAATAAAACGTTATAATCAATAATCATAATGTTATTATAACGTTTGCAAGCTCTGCCATATCCATAAAATATTGCAATTTTTCAACCACTTCAAGATTGAAATTCCCAACTTACCTATTTAAATCACAATAAATTATATTTTCAATTAGGCTGAATTGTATTGTTAATTTATTTATTGTACAACCTAATTTTTTTATGGTCTATAGAACTGGCCCTTCTGAATACAAAAAAATCGGCAGAATTGTCGACCGGTTTTTTGGTCTGCTGACTTTAAAAATTGCAAAAAAAGTTTTTGAGTTGTGTATTGAAAAAGATAATAAGGGGCCTCAATATTTTGGTTTGCACACAGGCCTCAAGTAGCCTAGTTACGGCACTGAACTCAATACTTAATGATTCAAACTAATCTTCCCTATTTATTTTTGTTTAAGCTTTGCTATCAGTTGTATAATAAACGCTAGACGCTACTATAATAATTATTATTATTGCAGTTAATTAAATATTTATTTATAATGTATGTTTAACCTAATAATTTATGACATAAATTCTCCAATCTCCATATATTGTGCTGAAAGCGCCCAAGGCTCCCAAAATATTTGATCTGGGCCTAGCTCCAAGTTAAATTTAAAAGGGAGATATTTGGACCATATGTCTATTTTCTCATTAAAAACACATCTTACGTTGTAAACATTTAACTAGAGGCAAAATATTTGATAAAAAAAATGATTCCTAATGTTATTTTACACAACTATTGGTTCTAAATTTGCAGTTTCACTTAATTGATATGCCTATAGATAATAACATCAATATCAAAGAACCCAGTTATTTATGTATTGTATACCTAATTATGTACACAACATAATTTTATTATTTTTAGATAGGTAATAAAAGATAACAAGACTCTAAATTTAATGATAAAGACTATTGTGCTGACTGCAGCCGAGTATAATATTCTGAAAAATATAAATTCTGCTCCCAAGTCCAAGTATAGGTAGGTACAGGGATGGGCAAGTTACATTACACAGTGTAACTGGATACAAGTTACAAGTTACTTTAATATTGGGTAACTGATTGCAAGTTACATGTTATATATATCCTGAGTAACTGGTTACAAGTTAAAGTTACTGTAACTTAGTTACATTATAAGTTACAAGTTACACATAATTTATTAAATTTTTGTAAAAATAATAATATAATTTTCAGTCAATAAAATTTATTTTTACAATATGTGAAAGCTAATATAATACATGTTTACTATTCTATGCAAGTATTTAAAACTATATATTATTTATTAATTATAATATATTAAATAATTACTTATATTACATATATACTTATACTTATACATAATATTTTAAATGCACAACACACAATTTACATCAAAAATTGAAATTATCTTGGTTAGTTATATTACTTATATTATAGTATTGTATATTATATTATTATTTAGTATTTACTATGGTTAGGCCAACTAAGGTTAGGAATATCATTAATGGTCGCATAATTTATAATAAATTTCAAATGAGTGGATAATTTTTATCTTAGTTTTGTTACATAGATATTATATTATTTAAAATTATATTACACTTTTAATAACTATTGATAAGCATATAAATGTACATAAAAAATGTGTAGTTTTTAAAAATCAATTAAAAACGAGTCAATCATACTGACCATATTGTCCATATTATTAGCACTATAACTTACAATATATTTTAATAATATTACCTATAAATATCATTTCCTTTAAGAAACACAAGTTTTTCGAAATTAGTGTTCGATAAATTACTTCTATTTGGAGCATGAATAAATCCAGCAAATGAAAACAATCTTTCAACTGGAGCTGATGATGGTAAACTTGTATTGTATCTGATGCAGTGGCGCCGAAGTCCATGCTGACGTCGGGCCGTGGCCCGACCTCTTTTTTGAAAAATGTGGCCGGCCGGCCATATTTAATTTACATCATAACTTTATTATAAGTATGAGTAAATTTAAACCGTGATTATGAATACATTTATATTAAGGTACCTCTATATTGAGGTCGGGAAGTTTTAAAATTGCCCGACCACATTTTAAAAACTTCGGCGCCACTGATCTGATGAATAATTTTTTTATAGTAGGGTAACTGTCTAAACATGTTAATGCCTTATTTTTATTATTAAAAAACTGAACTACTTCTAAATTAGCCCTAGAATCAAAACATTGTTCCTGAGAAGAAAATATCAAAAAGTCTTCATCGTCTACATTTAACTGAAGTTACTTGTATCTATTGTTACAAGTTACAAAACGAATTGTAACTCGTTACATTTAAAAGATGCTTAAAAATTGTGTAACCGATTACAAGTTACAAGTTACAAAAGTAACAGGGTTACGTAACTTTGATACATGTAACTGATTACTGCCCAATCCTGGGTAGGTAACAGGTAACCTCCTTAGGTATATTACTTCTACGGTAAGCTATGGTTCTGAAGTTGAATCAAAATAACTTCTCCTCCATTCAAAATCGGTTATTATTTATTTTCGATATTTTATCATTATAGATTTATCAGTCTATTTTTAGTTTGATAAAAATGTTAAGCCACTGTAGCAGTCATGATTTAAGATATCTTAAATCGTGGTAGCAGTGACCTCACTTCTCAGTACCTCGCCATCCAAGCGCGAAGTCCCGTAAATTTGTAATGAATTTTTTAAGTTTTATTAGTGCATTAAATTCACAGCCCTGCCTACAACCAATAGTTACAAGGGCGGTCCCAAAAATATAAGCCGGTGGGGGGGGGAGTCAAACAATATAGCCTTAAGAAATTATTAATTCACTGCTACGACAACAATCAATACCTCCGTTAAACAATATTGACTTTTATATTCAATATTACCTATTTAAAATAAGTACACAAGTTAAGAAAAAAAATCAATTGTTTTAAGAAAATATTAAATATAATGCACAATATAGGTAAGTATATGTACGTTAATCAATAAATATGCAGTTTTTCCATCAAATTTACGAAATATGCATTTTCGATTTTTTATTTTTAAACTCACCGTTCTATAACTCGGATTTCTAGCTTTAAATTATTAATTTCTAATTGATATCATTATTAATTTATATCACGGTATATTATAATATATTATATTATATTATAATATACCGTGATTTATATTATGCAAGTTAGCATAATTTATTTTAAGTGGCTTTGAATCTAATATTATAAATTTTCCAGTATTTATGAATAAAAAAAATCAGCTTTGGTCGATCATACATTTGAACAACATGCAGTGCTGTAACAAATTTAGCATGTAAGGTGTTCATCCAAAATATTCTAAATTTCAAAACAGATCTATGAAATTCTTAATTTAGGTATGATATAATATAATATATTTGTATATCATGACAACGAAATAACATGTATGCAGTAGACATACAACTATAATAGCTATAGCATATTGTAGCTTGTAAGTTTAGTTAGAAAAATTTTAGTTTTAAAGTGGAATACATAAAATTAAAATCTTGCATATTTTAATGTATATTTATCATTTATAAGTACATATGACCAAAGTTTCTAATTCCAGAATTATCAATGGTATTCGCACAGACATCTAGATTTCATCTAGTTTGTTACTCTGTGTCGTATTTTACTCACGGGTGATTTTACTCGGGCATTCTGTGATCAGCTATAATTTAAACTTTTCAATGCTTTTCGGATAACAACATTATTTAGCCTTGTCGATACACATTTCTAACCTAAGCTAACACAGCTGGTATAGTAAATAGTAATGCAGTTAAAAGCACAGCTTAAATTTTATAATTATATAGAATCATAAAACTTCTAACAGACCTTAATTTTAATCATAAACGATACATTTAATAGGTATCTTACACGTCATATTTAAAAAAAAAAAACAATGGTAACTTAAGTTATACTCATTTTATATTTTATTCAGATGTATAATATATGTTCTTAACAATAACTAATAATTTTAATAATAATTAATAATGATAAAAATTGAATAAAATATTGGTACATAATATAATAGTTTAAGCCAATAATAACTAAACATGTTGTTATGATTTGTTTCATGAAATATATACAATTTATTAGAATATAGGATATTGTTTTCACAATAAAATCAACGAATGGTTAACACCTACACCAGTCATTTTTCGTTCAGCAATAATAATGTAATGACAGGTTAAATTAAAAATACAATTCACAGGACGGATCAACAAATTAAAAAAAAAAAAAAAAAAAAAAAAGAAGTTTTTGTAGTTTAATTAAAAGTAAAGTTATATGCTATTTAATTTGAAGTAATAGATAATAATACTATATCATAAACTCAGTTATATTAATAATACAAACTCAGTATTTTAGTTGGTTCTTAACTGGTAGTCTCCATTTTGGGTGATGTAACGTACCCAAGGTAATGCTTGATAACCACTCTTCTCAATAATTTTCAAGTACCTGACTTGAATGCCCGATGTTGTGAAATATGGTATTTCAAACCTCACCTGTATAGGAGGCCGACCTTCAGTTTCCTCGTTTTCAACACTTGGCAAACCAAAATGTGCTCTCATCAAATATTCTTTGCCACCTGGGAATGACTTTATTGACCACACTAAAGAATTTTGCTCAGGCATATACTTGACTGAACCGACAGTAGTTTTGAATTTAGGAGAATCAGCATCCATTGGAACTTGGATGACTACTTCTACATTATTGGCAGTGGACCGACGCTTGAACTGTGATTTTGCTTTAACTATGTATTCAACACGACTATGGGCATGTCTTTCGATAACACTTTCAATCCAAATCAAAGGCTTGATGTGTGTACTTAACCTGCAAAAAGATAAAAGTATTATTACCGAATCATTTTACTAATAAATTAAACTACTTAAAAACTAAATATTACCTGTATGTCATCAAATCAAATTCTCCATCAGGAGGAATAAACGATATAGTTCTGTCGTTTTCGAATCGTGATAGACGAACACATTGATGAAATTTGACATCTTCAAGTTCTACAGATTTGGATTTGCCACGTCCAGTGCTTTCAAACAATACCTTGTCATTCAGACCTAAGCGTAACTCTGGCATTCCAGACAGGTAGACTCTCATTTTGATTGAACCCACTATTTCGCTCCTAAGTACATTTCCATTGGCACTAGCTAACAAATTAACTGATTCGATAACATCTAAGAATACTTCATTTTTTCTATACTTGAGCCCTTCAGAGCGCCAAGACACGGCATTAGTCACTGCCATAGGGATCCTTGGTTGTATTTCTAATTTGTGGCCATCTTGTGTGATGTACTCTTGTAGGATTTTGCTATCGGTAGTCTGCGGATACCCAAAGTCGAGCAGTTCATCCAAAAGTTCGTATATGACTACAAAGTTGTCGCGTATACTCTCCTCTTCGATTTCCTTGAAATATTCGTTCATAACTCGCACAATCTTGTGTAGGAACACAAACACCAGCATGATGTTGGCATTCTTCTTGGTCGTGGACACTACATACAAGTTGTTGCATTTTATGTATGTGAACGTACACTCCTCAGTCTGCAACAGAGGCGTCAATGATCCCTCCTCTTCTTTTTCCATCAGCAGTGGCATGAACTTTTCAATGACGTTGGGCGCGATGTCACCCCGGTAGTTACGGGATATCAACACCTTGCCCTTGACGTCCAATATGTAAATAGCCGACGCAGACATTGCCGTGTAGGTACCGAATACTTACTGTTCACAGTCAATCACTTCATTAGACCCACGTTCTCCGTATCGCGCGCAGTTTCCACGATACACTACAACGCCCTGCCTAGACCAAGAATGAAGAACTGAATAAGACCAAGTCCTGTGTCTGCCGATTCTTTCGTAGGCTTTCAAATTATTCGATGGACTCTTTTCGCCAGCCACAACTCATGCACCGGTCTTGAATATTGATGTATTATTATTATTTAATTCTAAAATATTTAATAGGTATAATAATAATACCTAATGAGTAATGGATATTAAAATAGTATTATCTAATATCTTCGACGAGACAATTATTGTCGAACCCACTCGAACCAATCACCAGTAAATAAGTTTACCACCATGTACTAACGTCGACGTGATAACCTTATTATGATAAGCGTGGAACCAAAAGAGTTGTCAGTGTGGCCCAACGACCGGCGAGTTCGACGCGTGGCCGTTGTATTTTGTTAAATGGCCACACCGGATCCGTACTCGATATCAGACTGTTATCATTGATTTGCACGGAGATTTTCACATTTTCATTATTGTAATATTAATATATATTATATTTATGTATAGTATAATAGGAAATATTACGTTACTATTGTTTAGTCTATAAGTCTATAGTTGTACTGTTGTAGGTATTATAGCCTATAGTAGCTACTGTACTACTGTCATAGAAAAGAGATACTGTAAGTAATTGCTAATTGGTAATAGCCCATAACCCATTATAAAATATACAATCGCCATTGTCTTCAATATTTTTTACGGTGTCCAACTACGGATCGTCTGAATTTCTATTTGACGGTTTTTAAAAATTTATTTTTTTATTACGTTGGAATAAATCCCCACGCTGATCGTATAAACATGGCTGTACGTAGAGCTAGTCACTCTGGGACGTGGTACAACGAATCGGGTACGTGATTTCTTTGTCAACGATCGAGATCTGAATAAAACGTTATGACTTATGATTTATTTTTCAGCTAAGGAGCTTAGCACCCAATTAGAAAACTGGTTAGGTGCTGCCGAACTCACTCATGGGCCCGCCAGAGCCATAATAGCTCCGTAAGTATTTTCCGAGTAGTACATTCAATAGATGTGTTATATTCATTAATCCTAAATAAATCTAATGAATTTATATCTTACAGGCATGCCGGATATCAATATTGTGGTGCTTGTGCAGCATTTGCCTATCGCCAGATAAGTCCATTCGTCGTGTAAGTTACAATGATTACAAAACTTTTCATAAGTAACACTAGTTATTTTTAGGCAACGTATTTTTATACTTGGACCCTCACATAATGTCCGTCTATCTGGTTGTGCTTTGTCAAGCGCTGTTAAGTATAGTACACCGTTCTATGATTTACAAATAGACGATGAGGGTAAGCATTTGTTATATTGAAGTGAAATTAGGTAATTGTTTTCAATTTTTATTTAGTGTATGAAGAGCTCGAGTCTACTGGACATTTTGAACGAATGAGTATGAAAGTTGATGAAGACGAACATAGTATAGAAATGCAATTGCCATACATTGCCAAAGTGATGCAAGAGTAATAATCATAAAAAAAAGTTCTAGTATCCATAATTCATGTACAATTTGTTATTATATTTTAGCTACAAAGATAAATTTACCATTGTGCCAGTAATGGTTGGTTCGTTGAGTACTGAAAAAGAATCTCTGTATGGCCATATATTCGCTCAATATTTAGCGGATCCAAAAAATCTTTTTATTATATCCTCAGATTTTTGTCATTGGGGACAAAGATTCCGTTATACATTTTATGAAAAATCTTGGGGTGAAATTCATCAATCAATTACAACTCTGGATCATAAGGTACAACATTCTTTGAAGATTATAATTAAATTAGCTTACATTTTTTATAGAATCGAAATTAATTAAAATTAATATGCTCTATCATAATTGCAGTCATGATATGACTTTATAATAGTTATGTACGTCATTTTTTTTCAAGGGCATGGATACTATAGAAACTTTAAAACCAGCTGCATTTGTTGAATACTTAAAAACTTTCTCTAACACTATATGTGGCAGACACCCCATAAGTGTTCTATTGCAGGTAAATTAGAATAATTAGTCAAATTTATTACCATTAAACATTGTCATACATTTTTTTTTTTTTTTTTGTTTAACAATAAATACAGTGGCTATATTACAATTTTATTATTTTTATATTTTTTTAATAGGCAGCTAATCATTTACGGAATCAAAAATTGTCACTCAAATTTTTAAAATATGCCCAGTCCAGCAAATGTTACAATCTGGGTGATTCATCAGTTAGCTATGCGTCCGCATCCCTTATAATTGAATAGCAATACAGTACTTCAGTGAATATTTTTGATTCACATTTTTCTAAAAATAAGTAACACTAAATTTAAAAACTATATACTTAATTACATAAGATTGTAAACCATTATGGTAATCAAGTTTTTTTTAAATATTGTTTATATTATTAAATAAATATTAATATGTAAGTTTTTTTTTTAAATAAAAAAACACCTTATTTTTATATAAATATATTTTGTAAAATTGATATATATCATGAAAAAAAAAACGTCATGACTGATGATAAAAATAATTAAAAATATAAATTACTTTTGTTGAATAAACAATGCATTTAAGTTTAGTCATACAATCCCTTGTTCAGTAACTCTAAAAGGAACACTTGTTGGAGCTGTATGTGGGCTGAACATCACTTCAATGTATCTAGAAGAATGTGTCTTGGACATCATAAGTCTAGTAGTCACTAAATTCGCCCACGCAAGTCCCAAAGATGGAACTAATTTATTTCCGCCGATATCTGATATTGATGATGTTACCTTTATATGAAAACATGAAGATGAAATTTATAGTATATTGAATATGTGTTTGACTATCTTATTTATATTACCTGATTAACACATATGATCCATAGTCCATGCTCAACAGATAGCTTATGTAGAAAAACCGCTATATCTCTGAGATCTCTGGATCTACGAGGTACTTCACTTGGTGTGTATTCTCCACGGAATACAGCTGTTATACTATCAATGACAATGATCTTTATAGGTCTGTGTAACAGTGCTCTTGGAAGCATTTCATGGATACATTTTTTTAAATCTTCCTAAAATTCATGAGAGCAGTTGGAAAAAATATTTCAATCAAAATACAATAATTTACCACAGTTGCTATGTGACTAATCAGAATATTGTCTCCATAATCTGTTTGACATAATTCATTCATATCAGTTTTACTGTCACATTGATACTTAAAACGAATATTAGAAATCATCTGTTGTATTCGACTAGAGGGAAATCGGTCTTCAGTACAAATGTATGCAGCTCCTTAATTTAAACAAAGGTCAAATTTAGAATCTGATATAAAAAATGACCAATTATTACCAACCAGATTTTGCTCCTTTGAGAGATAATGGTAGTTGGACAGTGAGCGCAATCTGCAAGCAAAATTGTGTTTTCCCACAGCCGCTTTCGCCAGAGACCTCTGTAATGCCATATTTGAATAGGCCTCCACCCAAAAGTTGATCGATCTGTTTACAGCCTGTAGTAAGTACATGGTTGTTTGGCTCTTGATGACACCTATAACAGTATTAATCAGTATTTTTTACACTCAAGGCTCAAGCTATGTTTAAAATTAATTTTACTTGACATTTGAAGCACTTATATTAGCTGCTGCAATAAACACACGGTGAGTTGCTACTACTGTCAATTTTACTTTTTTTCTAAATTCGGCCTCAGTATACTTTAAAATATTTTTAGATGATAAAAAACCTCCTAAACAATGTAAAACAGTAATTATTTGTAAGCAATCACACTCACATATTATTTTTGGGATGGTATTTATAATATTATTTCTGCATTTATTTTCACAATTAATTAATTCAATTATTCATTTATGTCAATAATTTATGGCATGAAAATGATGTTGAAAACCATTGTTAAAAAATAATATAATACTATCAGTTAAATGGACATAATTATCTTTGTGAAGTTTTACTTTGAACTATTATGTATTTTTATTTAGTCAGTAAAAAAATAATTTTCTGTACAATAGTATTATTCTTATAGCATCATGGTATTGTTATATTATGGTAATAACAATATTATATATTTATAGAATGTTTTATTTCTTTTATCAATCCATAAAAAAGTTAATGTTCATTTTATTTGTGGCATTGTATATTTGTATTATGACAAGGGTCATGGCAAGATAAAACCTCTTTCCGAAGTCTCTTGAAAAGTGAATAAACCCAACAACCAACCTGTCATTGTCATTCACGGTCATTGTCAATTGTTACATAAGTGTTTTTTTTTTAGCAACAGGAACGAGGAACGGGAACGAGTTCCTATTAAAAGGAACTTTCCAAACGTTGCCCAAAAACATAGGGCATGGACGCATGGTCCATCTGGTATACTCATTTTGAATGTAGCCAAAATAAAATAATACACCTAATTATATATATGAAGATTAGGTAATAAGTAATAACTAATAAGCTAATAATGAATAGAATGTTTATTTGATACTTAATTATCAGTTATCACCATTGACAGTTACAAGTTTATGAAATTAAAGATATTAAAAATGTGGCTCTTGTAAATTTCCAAGGACAGAAAGTGGAGTCCGAAGTCGGTTGAGATTAGTGAATATTGTATACAAATTTCACAGCATCATATTATACAAACCTTCTATACATTATAGAAGTTCTAAGCAAGGTAGGTAATAAACTATTGGTTTATAAATAAATAAACAAAAATTAAATTAAGCATTACACAAACAATCAGATTTGATATATTTTTGGGTGCTTCTGACAATAGTTAGTCATTGTTTACTCAAAAATTACATCATTTTACCTCTGATCAACGCGGCTTGTGTGTATGGGTCAAAAACGTTCAAATCCAAGTCGTCATCGGCTGACGACGAATCCATTCCACCAGCAGTAGCGGGGTGTGCATTCACATTTCTCAAACGTCATAATCCATTCTTAGAAAATATTGTTAATACAATTATGATTTATTATGCAAGTTCCGTACATATACTAAAACCACTGAGATGAATAGTTGAAAAAATATATAAATATGTAATATAAATAGGTATTACAGTATTACTGTATGTCACTACAAGCTTTACAGAATAAATTAAATCTGTTTCGTTCAACTATTCTGTGGTTTTAAAAATACTCTAAAAAAAGTTAAATGATTTTAAACTTTTGTGCTTTAATACCGCAGTACCTACTACCTACTACCTAGTCGTCCTAGTCCTATCAGCATAGATAAACGGCACACATGCGTCTTGCACGACCTTGCAGTCTGTGTTTACAGATGAGTGATAAGGGCATAATGGTCCACTATCATAAAGTTCTTGTTAATGACAAGGTTTATAAAATTATAGGGTAGACCGGGTACAATTTTTGTTCAATAACAATTATAAAAAGGTGGGTAAGTGGATGTCGCTCTGCTGTACTGTAGGTTACAAGTGGGTCACTGTATAATGGATGGTATTAAATTTGAATTCAATGATACAATATCATTGTATAAGAAAAACGATTCTGAGCGAAGACGGTATGTCAGTCTAGGTTTAAGACAAATTATATACATATCTATGGTATTAAAAAAAAATTGACCTATAATAAATTCCAAATTAATCATATCACATTATCACAATATCCATTAGGTACTTATAACACGTTATACATCAAGATCAATTACAAACCCTGATACTATCATTGATATATAATAGTACACTTTAGAAGTTTCAAGTACCCACGAATAATATTATATAATAACAACAAAATAACTAGGTTTTTTAATATGTAATTTCGTCCAAATTTGAACATAAAATGACTATAAAAATAAACTGTGATTGTATATTTTTTAGATTTTTCGGTAAGAGAATTAACTACTTACGTAGAATCTTGTTTTAAATTTTCAATCCTTAGCTATAAAAACTGAACATTTTAGAATTTATTAATTACGATGATTAATAATTTTCGAGATTTTGAAAAATTCTGTCAAAATTCGATCTTTAAATGCTTATAAAAAAAAACTGTGCCTATGTATTTTTAATATTTTTCAACTGCTATTGTAACAATATATCAGGAGCCTTGTATTAAATTTTTACACTTTTTGGCCCAACAGATAAAACTTTATTGATATTTGTAGAAAAAAAAACTAAAAAAAATTGAAAGCTGTAAATGTCCATAAACAGCTCAAAAAGAGTCAAAATATTTTCAAAATTGTATGGTGTATAGAAAATGCTAATTTAAACATTCAGTGAAATTTTCATGTATCTACAGTTGTTCGTTTTTGAATTGCAACAAAATAAGGAAATCGCTACATGAGTAATCGAGTGAAAATCCAATGTTGTAAAAATTTGAATTTCAAACGCTCATAAAAATTTAATTTGACTGTCCGGTAGAGATTTTTTTATTGATAAAGGTAGATAATCTTATAAGGAATCTTGTGTTTCATTTTCAAATCTTAGATTTAAAAAGAAAAATTTTTACGAATTCTTAACTCAAAATAATTTGCTAATTTTCGTGATTTTTCCATATTTTGTCAATTTTTGAACTTTAAATGCTTATAAAAAAAAATTGTGACTAAGGATTTTTAATATTTTTCATCTGCCTTTGAAACAACATATTAGGAGCCTTCTATTAAATTTTCAAGCTTTCGCAACCAACAAATACAATTTTATTGATATTTTTAGAAAAAAAACTAAAAAAAAATGGAAAATGAAAATGTCCCTAAACAGTTCAAAATAAATCAAAATATTTTGAAAATTTTATCGTGTATAGAAAATGCAAATATAAACAACCAGTGAAAATTTCATGTATCTACGGTCATTTGTTTTAAAGTTACACCAAAAACCAAATTCGATTTTGTCAAAAACTGATTTTGCGTAAAAATTCCCGTTTTTCCTTAATTTTTATGTTGTTTTTCCCGGCGCTTGTGAAAACTATTGGGAATTTTAAATTTTGACCTCCCCAATGCACCAACGATATTCACTTTCCAATCGAACAAGATACTGAAGTCGAAAATCGAAGCATTATTTCGACTACTTATCGTGTACACAGACACAAAAATAAAAAAATAAAAAAATAAAAAAATAAAAAAAAAAAAAACACACATCATTGTAAAATCAATACATTCATCGTTTCACTCAGAATCTAAAATGTCAAATAAATTTAGCCCTCTTTATAACAATCGATGTTTCCTTATCAAAATTCTGATGACAAAATAACAGTTTGAAAAAACCCTTTGGTCATAACATAGAACAATATCATGATCATAATTCATAATATACTTGAATATCATAGGGATTGGGCCGATTGGGATACATCGGGAGAAGCAAGATTAACTAACTTTGTCAATGAATATCAAATTTAAAATTTAAAATGATTTTGCAGTTATAAAGCTATATAAAATGTTTAACTATTATAGCAAAGGATTGAAAATTTAAAACAAAGTTCCAGGTAACAAGGTTATTCTGTACCTAACCAACAAATATAAAAACTCAATTTTTTTATAGCTATTTTATACTCAAAGTTGGACAAAATTAGATAATATTTAAATGAAGAAAAACGATTTATAGTTTTGTTTTACATATTAAAAATATTATTCTTGGATACTTAAAACAGTTAAAACTTCTAAAGAATATTAATATATTATCATCGCTATACAAATATGATAACAAATTATTAATCAATTAAAAAATAATAATAATTCAACTTAACCTGCTACCTTATCAATAATAACATAATATTGCAATATACAATACAGCTGCTGTACAATGTCAAAACACAATAACACGACTTTTCATTATTTTGCAGGATAATTCATTTAGAACAATATCCTAATTCCTAGACTGACAAACAGTATCCGCTCAAAATCGTTTTTCGTATACATTATTACATGAATGAATTAACATTTAACACCATCCATTACAGTCACCCACTTGTAACCTACTGTATAGCAGAGCGACTTCCACTTTTTATTTTAGATTCTGAGTGAAACGATGAATGTATTGATTTTACAATGATGTGTGTTTTTTTTTTTAATTTTTAATTTTTTTAAATTTTTTTTTGTGTCTATCATCACTTTTTAGGACAGTAAAAGTGCTTGGATTTTCTTCAACAGTAGCTTTTCTGAAAGTGAATCTAGTTGGTACTTTGGAGGGTCAAAAGTGAAAATCTCACCGTAGTTTTCAAAAGCGGCGTGAAAAACAAAATAAAAATTAAGGAAAAACGGGAATTCTTACACTAAAATCTGTTCGATTTTGGTTTTTGGTGCAACTCTTAAACAAATGACCGTAGGTATATGAAATTTTGAATGAATGTTTGTATTAGCATTTTCTATACACGATAACATTTTCACAAAGCAGAGCAAAATTTTTTGATTTATTTTGAACTGTTTAGGCACATTTTCATTTTTCATTTTTTTTTTTAGTTTTTTTTCTAAAAATATCAATAAAATTGTATTTGTTGGTTAAAAAAGCTTGAAAATTCAATACAAGGCTCCTACTATGTTATTACAATGGCATTTGAAAAATATTAAAAATCCTTAGTCACAGTTTTTTTTTATAAGCATTTAAAGTTCCAATTTTGAGAAAACTTATCAAATTTAAAATGTAATAATTTACATAATATAATATAATTAACCAATTTTACCTGGAGCTTTATCTATTCCAATGTTAGTTCTGGACAAACTTGTTTATTCCAAGTGTCTAGACCAAAACTGAAGACTTCTTCTGGTTCGTCACAATTTAATAGCTCGTTAAATTACTCACTTCATCTTATAGCTATCTCTTAGCTCGAAGTTACTGGCGACCCGTCATCATTTTTTAAGAACCTCTCTTTCTTTTTATTCCCTCCTGCAAGGTTATTTATCTGCTTGTACATGTCTCTAGTTTTATGAGTTTTATAGTCAAACTCTGCTTTTCCCATCATGCACTGGAGGTATTTCCTTTTCTCACATCTTAATATGCTGCTCGTTTCTCTTTGACGAGTTTTGTATCTGTTGAATAAAGTTTCACTATTTGTGTCATTTAGCAAATTGCTTATTGCCGCTCTTCGCCTCTCAATAGCTTCTTCACAGATTCTGTTGAACCGATGCTTGGTTTTTGAGGTTTTCATATTATACAATATCATATAATATCATATTATTATAATTTAAATTCAAAATTATAAACTATTTTGATTATTGTCCTATCAAATTTCAATGAAGAAATTGTTCCTTAACACGGAACTCTTTGATATAAAAAGTAGCATTATTTATATCAATAATAATAGTGGTCTTTGGAAAAATGAACGCTCTATTTTGTATTAAGTAAATCTTATATTGTACTGTACTGTTATTATTTGAATTTAAATTTGATGTCTAATTTGAGAACCTCTCACCTTCAACCCAAGCTTTTGCTTATAGGCAGGGCCGTATTTAGGGATTTTTCGCCCCCGGGCACAATATTTATGGCGCCCCTTTCCAACACATTTTTTTTAATACCATAGAAGTGGTGGCTAAATTTTATTTTTTTTTTGGGGGGGGGGCATAACATTAATTCATTTTTTATGTTTCCCTTTCTCATTGAAATTTAATTTGCAGTTAATTTTTAGCAATTTTAACTAGGTACCTATGCATTCCAATATTAGATTTTTAACAGTAGGTAAATTATACAAAAAAAAACATGAGTAACTAGTTTATAACTTAGGTCTTAGGTACTATCTACCTAGAATCTTCCATGATTCAAATAATAAAGAATGATATACAATTAATAATATGTACTATAATATAGTAATATAATAATATTTATTGTTTATTTTACAATTTTTTTCTTGATTGAATATCACCAAAATGATCTATAATATCTTCATATTTAATTTGTTTTGTTATTTCTGATTCAATATTTAATATTGCATGTAAGTTTAATCTCTCTTTAGAAATTGTTGACCTTAGGTAGTTTTTATTCAGCGTAAAGTTGAAAATGACCGTTCAGCGGTACAGTTTGAACAGGGAGTAGGTACATAAAAACATGTGTAAGCAAAGCAATACTAACACACGGGTAAATGTCTTCTGATCCTTCTATTTTTAACATAGAACTCATATCAATTATAGTTGATGGAGAATTTTTCATACTTTGAATATAACTTTGAAAATGAACACATTCGTTAATAAATGTTACATCCAAATCTTTTGTATACATTGAGTACAAATGTTCAGCTAAAACACGTACTTCTGATGGTTTTATCTTTGTGAGTCTTAAAAAAAAAACTATACTTTGTTATGACATTATCGTAAGCTAACTTTCGACTTGTTAATTCTTCTATTATAGAATCACAAATCACTAAATATGTGTTTACTTTGAATTCCAAACTATGGTTTCTACTTTCTCACTATGCTCTTCTCTTTTAAGTTTAAACATGGTATTTATTTCGTTTGTTTTTCTTATAACTTCATTAGGTTTTTCCTTCTTTTTTTTTGCCTCCTTACCATTGCATACACCACTAGCTTTGACTCTTTTTAGCTCCATTAAAGTATAATTTCAACTAAAAAATTGTTATGACACAATTAAACTTATCTAGTCTTACTTATTAATTATTATTTACCTACTTACCACTATGACTAAATTACTGCATTCAATTCATATGTATAATGTATAAATATATAAACATATAAATATATCCAATAATTGTATGCAGATTTGCAATGTAATTTAAGTGAACCTAAACTGTGTAATTGTAGTGTACCTACCTTACTACCTACCTACCTACCTACCTGGCACAACCTTACAATATCAATTATAAGGTTGAATGTTTTAATATTATTACAAATAATATAATTATAATATTAATATTTTATTTTATATAACAATTCAAAAAAAAGTAAACTCTTATTTCTATTATATTAGTTCACTTATTGAGATTTAAATTATGTAGGTACGGAGTACGTAGTCACTGACATATAGAGTTTAGCAAGTTGTATAATATGAAATGACACAAATGTATTTTAGTAGCCAGTAAATAAGTACAATCGATAATCCTGATTTGCCAATACGGGCCAACGCAGTTATACTATACGTCTAGTTTTACAGTTTACTAGTAAAAATAAACCCACTAATATTTAATAATGTTAGGTACCTACCTAGTACCTACTTAGTTAATAACGTTTATTTCTCTTTATTTAAAATGATAAAATATAGGTAAAAAAAAATGTATGCATATGTGAATTTAAAAAATAAATAATAATAAAATATATCATTTTTTTAGAAATCTTTCTGACTTTCTCTTTACGAAAAAAATTAATTTTTTGTTTATTTTATCTGAGATAATTTTGCCGCCCCCGGGCAATTACCCACCGGTGCCCCCCCCCCCTTAAAACCGGCCCTGGTTACATAACTTATAAATTATTATTATTAATATTATTTATCATGGTTTTTACTTGATCCAAATATGTCGGAGTAATATAATATAATATCGTAGTAATATATGTTCGAAGTAATTGATATCGGAGCAGTATTATGGTTGACAATAAAAAATTTTTTTCGGAGTAATACAAGTTCATAGTAGTATATAGTCGTAGCACTGGTGTTATCCCACAGTAGGTACTGTAGCTAGGTACTAGTTTTTATCATACCTTGTAATGTATACTTATTACTTCTTGAAAACATTATATAATTATAAATGACAATTTAATAGAATATTTTGTATTTTCGGACTTAGTCGTCCGAGTGAGTCTATAGTTATATTACCCTGCTAATTTAAATAAATATGTACACAGCCATAAATACACATAATATTATGGTATTATTTATTCACAAATTGAGTTTACTGTAATTATAATTTTACTCATTACGACGAATAAGCTTTTTAAATATTGAAATAATTATTATTAAATTAGTATTTATATTATTATCATGTGAATTATTATAATGTGTAAAACCACAAATTATGTAATGTTTATAGTGTTTATACATTCAAACAGTGTACAGCGATACATAATTTAATACAATTAATATACAATACTTACATAATATTATAGACAGGGCTTATTCTAAAGCGCAGTTGGGCTTATTTTTTGTATTTGGAAAAGCTAGACGCGCACTTGATAATCAATTTTTGCGTACTGACTACTGATTATTAATCTATGAAACTACTGAACTATGTTTATTATTAGAAATTGTAGGCAAGATCCAACTCTTTGGAGTTAGGGTTTTCTAAGAACACGTAATATCGAATACCGATAAGGCGACAATATTCCTTTTTAATTTATTATATTTCTAATATTATTAGATTACGTAGATTTTTTTTTTTTTTTTTATTTAAATGAAAAGGCTTCAACAACTAAGGTTATTAGCCTGAATTACGTAGATTTATTTTATATTATGCCGGCTGCCGGCAGTACACATTCGCAGAATGTACCATTAATTAAGATTTGGTGTGCTGTTCATCGGTCAAATCTTGCATGGAAAGATGTAAGTTCTACCGTAGTAGAAGTATCTCATATCGTAAGTAAGTTATCAGGAATTTCTGCTTTTTTCCACAACTCAGCACTTCGAACTAGAGAACTACAACAACTGTCTAAGGAAAATAATTTACAGCTTTTAAGGATACCAAAATTTTTTCAAGTGCGATGGACAGAATTTTCTTTTAGTCTAGTTAACGCAATATTAATTTCATGGAAAGCTCTGGTTATTTATATGCAAAATTCTAAAGAGAAAGAATCCAACGAATTTTTATTATTATTAACAAATAAGGACACTATTTTTTTATTAGCATTTTTGGCAGATGTATTGGCCATTTTTAGTCGCTATCAACAAACTATTCAAAGTGATAAAATAACGGTTTTGGATCTTGTTAAACATACTGAGTCAGTTATAAACAAAATTAAATCATTGAGTTCAATTAATTTAGTTGGTGGTTGGGTAGATGTACTCGAAGATGAACATAAAGGTACCGACGGAAAAGTTCTAAAAGATATAAAATTAATTGATTTCCAAGAAAAACTAAAACATAGGCATAATTTGTATGTAACTGAAAATAGATCTGTAAGTGCTATATGCCATTAAATAGTAGAAACTTTGGCTAATTTTTTGCAAGACCGCATAGATATTGATAAATATTTTGTTAGTACTATTAAACCTGTTGCTAATCTTGATAGCAAAGCTAACATTAGGAATGTATTTGACGTTTTGGGTAAGGATTTAGATTTAGCTGATTTAAATATGAAGTATACAGATTTAATGGAACACAATAGATTAGACGAGATACGACAAATGCCACTGCCTAAATTAGTGCGATATTTATCTGGTTCCAAAGAGTTTAAAAATATTACTATTTTACTTGCTCGTGTTATAGCTGCAAAACCTCACAGCGCTGACGTTGAACGATTAATAATATAATAAGTAAAAGCAATATTCTTAAATCAATAAATCGTCAAAGTTTGCATGTTGAAACAGAAAATTAATATCTTTTTATTCATTTTAACATGCCTGCTCTTCAAAATTGGGACCCAAGACCAGCAATACAAATATGGTTAAACCAAAATGAACGCCGTATTAAAGAAACTCCTAAAGCCAAAGAACAGGAATGGTTCAGTGGGATATTTATGGAAGCGACAAAAAGAAAATCTGAAGACCAAACTGAACAAACGATTAAAAAAAGAATGTTCTAATAGTATTGTGTTATCGTTATGTGTTATGTATATAAATTATAAATAGTATGAAAAAAATAAAGAGGATATTATTTAAAATACAATATTTTAAACGTGAATGTTTATTTTGTTCATAATAGGTTAAATTTTAAATTCTTCCACATTAAAACTAAAAATATTATCATTTTTAACTAGTTTGATATTACATTTCGAGATTATTATAGTTCTATTTTTATAGGCTTATTAAAAAAAATGCGTAGTTGATAAAAATCCTTAGAATAAGCCCTGATTATAGATGTACAAAATGGTATACTGATTCCGAATACGTACAAATATGCTATTTAATATTTTATTACACATCACAACTCATACGATCAACTGCGAAAAAGTTTTACTTCCCCTGCACGAAGGTACTACAAACACACTCTATTTTTTTTATTTATTATTTTATTTATTTATTTATAAAAAATAATGGGCCCCACTGACTGGTTTTAAAAAAAACATTACAAATATTGTAACTATGGGCAGCGTATAACTGTTTAGTTCTTATTAAATCAGTAAATATATTTTTACATCATTCTCTGATTATAACACAGTGAAAAATTGTCTTATATATTGAAATTATCCTATATCAGATTATCATTATGTCTTATATCACAGAAGTGAATAATTCGTCCGAAGCCCAAATGCAGTCCGCTGCTGAAATAATGAAACAGGTGTTGGACGATCTCCGGCAAAATCGCCCTAAAAGGTTTCAAGACAATGATCTCACCAGTTTAAAACTGCATCGACGATATAAATCGTTACCCGACATGCCAATTTCCGCTAGCGAAGACGTTCAGATCGATTTGCAGTCCTCAACCGCTTTGATGATGCAAGTTTTCAGTGATCTACGTGAAAATCGTCAGATAGCGGTCGACGTTAGTAGTGTCAAGATTTCAAAGGCTCAAAGACTATGTAAATCGATGCCCGATATGGCATTCCTAACAAATGCCGAAGTTGATGCACCTGATGCTATGCCGTCCACGGAAATTACCGTTTCACTGGATTCATTGTATGCGGAAACAACTAACAGTGCAGTAATGACACCCGTCGCTGCAGAACTTATCGACATCGATACGATGTTGTCCGTCTCGACAACTTTCCCACTGGTTAAGCCGGTCGAATCCGACCCTCAACGGTTTAGTCCCATACTGAAAGTGGCACCACAGTCAATTGGGGATGCAGAGTCGAAAAATGGTTTGACAAAACCTTTGGACCTGGAGACCGCCAGTTTACAGGAAATTGTATCCCTTTGCGGTCGTGGAGATGCTGCAGAAATGGAAACTACAGTAACAGCCGCCAGACCTAAACGTCGCTCACTATGGAGCCAAGTGAAGAGATTCGCTCGGCGAATGGTTTGCTGTGGTGCTAACAGCGACATACACTATTAGGTGTATAGGTAGTTTTTTGAGGAGTGTTTGGGCACCGGTTTGAAAGTTTGTTTAGTTTGCCCCCTCACTTATCACGTTTATGGCGCCAGTGTAGTAAGTCACCGTGCACGATCATCCCGAGTTCGCTCCAAGAGTTTGTGTCCGGCTATATACATATATAAAACATATATAATATATAAATATTGCTATAAAACCGTAATCGTGTATACATTAACACTAATAAACGTTTATGCTTTGTAATTTATTTGGTTTTTATTTTATATCATTATTAAGAGTCGACACGCTGGTGTAAATTTAATTTATGTGACTGGTGGAAATCGTGTTTATACGAGTATATTGTACTGGTAGAATTTGGGTTTGTTGTAACTGGTGTATAAATCACACGAGGGACCTTGTATTGAATGCTTAGACTCTTTGACTGATAACCAAAACATTTTATCAACAAGAAACGTCGAAAAAACCAAAAAGACTGCTATTTTATGAGAAGAACGATGTTTAATAAAGTTCTCCAAGGATATTTTGATATTTCCACATTTCTGAATAATTTTATATTTTTTTATTGAGTATTCAATTTTAGATTATAGTTCTGTAATATAGAATCCCCGTCAATATTGCTTAGTAGCCCTCATTAAGGTTGTATCGTTAATAATATTATAATGTACATTCTATAATCAAATTATCTAATAAATATAATATTATGCTGTATATATGTACTGGCATCAAAATCTTCTATAGTTTGTAATATAATATTAATATTACCAACAGATTCAATACGAGTAGGTATACTTGATGTATAAGAATATGATAGTTGGATATTAAATATTAATTTTAACTTAGACTCTAATATTATTTCATACAGTTTGAGACGGTTTGGCAGTCTGGATATTGTATATTTTTATTATTTATTATAGCCTGTAAGTTGAATATTATTTGTAATATTATTATTAGATTCTGAGCGGGGCGAGGAAGCCGGTGGTTTTCCATTGGTGTTTATTTTTTTTTTGTATTCTGTATACAACATATTCTACCAGAAGGAGGGCCCGAGGGCTTCGATTTAAACATAATATAGTATCTTATCTTTTTAGAAAATTGGATCAAGATGATACTTTAGAGTGGTAATTTTTCGACTTTCTCAATAGTTATTTAATGACACAGGAAAAACCACCGACAAATTACAAATAGACATATTGCTCAACTAAGGAGGCTGGATCGAGTAGTGGAGTAGCTATGCACTCTCAATAGCCTCCCTCCCTCTTAAATAAATTATTCTCTGAAGTTCAGAGATCTTCAGTTCTATTGACATAATCACAACAAATTTGGGAACTAGGTATATTAATAATTATCGATCGCTGTAGCTATATTGCTATAAATACATTGATTGTTTAAATAATAAATTTCAAACAGCATAATTATTATACTATAATAATATATACAATACTATTATACTAGATTATATTATATAATACTGTTATAAAAATAATTTAAAGTATACAATTTTAAAAAATCATAAGTAAAGACATTTCTGTCCACAAAATTTTGGCGCCCGGGGCAGTTGTACCCAGTGCCCCCCCCCTAAATGCGGCCCTGCTTATAGGAGGTCAGCAAACTTACAACTGTATTTATATAATTAAAAATGTGTTGGGAATTGTTTGCAAATAAAATAAAATTGTTATTTTATTATTATTGTTAACGCGCTCGAAATTCTAATGCTACGGGCCGACCAGAACGATAAACATACTATTTTTTTTATAGCTGGCTAGTAACACACACCGTCGTCTGGAAAATTTTCTCGGAGATCCGTCTATGTGTTGAAATATTCTTATTTAGCTCATTTCTAACTCTCGATCGAATCCTAAAGTACACTCAAAAATTATCTTCGTTATTCAAAACATAAAGTATGGCAGCTAACAACTGCGACATCGACCGCGCTGCGGTAAACGTGTTATTGATGGAAATGTTGGAGGATATTTTTTCGGACAAAATGGAAGGAGCTCTTGCTGATAAAACGGAAGAATATCTCGTTCGTCTAGTCGCGCCCATCCTGTCTGCCATTGACACGGTCACCACTACTGGTGACGTTCAGACCCTGGAGTCGGAGTCCGGAGACTCGACTCTCCGAGGTGCAGTGGGAGAGGCGTCGGCAGAAGGGACGACGCCAGGGCGAAAATTACCGAGAGTCGAGGATCACGCTGTGGACCGCTGGCTCTCGCCTTTTCGCCCCGCGGTAATCCCACGTCCGCCGCTTCGGTCGTCCCCACCGGTTCCGCAGCACAGAATCTCACTTCGCTCGCTCAGCGTCTTGGTCTTCGCAGTCCGTCGGCCCGAGTCGTCACGCCGTCGACCGTCGGTACGCGCAAGACATCGCGCACTAGCCGCCGTCCATCGCCTTCAACCGTGGTCGCTCCCGTGGCCGTCTCGGTCTGGCCTCGCCGGCTGGGCAAGGTCGTCAAGCGTCCGAGCAAACGCGCCAGGGACACTCGTCAACCCGCGGGGACAGGTCGGAGAACGTGCAGAGGTGACCAGTGGCCAGCAACACTGCATTTCTGCACCAATCGCCATCTCGCATCCTCCCCCCCTTGTTTATTGTGTCTATCCTGTCCGTTGTAGTATTTTTTTTTCTTTAAACTTAAGTAATTTAAAAATTGTAAATTGTTAAATTGTTGTTCACACATTTATATTTCGGTTTTTTTTTTTTTAATTTGCGGCCTTTTCTACTATAATAAACATATTTTGTGGACACAAGAAAATATTGTTTCTTTTTTTTCGTTTTGTTGAGTGTATAATCAACTTTTACAGATTTAACGACTAAAAATCGTTAAAATATATATTTTAAATAAAAAACCTCATTGGTCGATTATATAGAGTATAATCCAAAAGTAGTATCCAAGAGTATGTTCCAAGAAAAATTCAAGCCATCAAGCACTATATAAAGGCGACGAATGACTGCGGAATGAATCATAAAATAACGCTTTACACCGGCGGA